TGGATCCTCTGAGCTCGGTTGTATTGCAGAAGCGACGCATATCTATGTCTAGCCTATTATGCATTCTCTATTGTGAGTCTCGACAATGTTGATCAGCTTATCTTTGACAAGGACACCGGCTTAGCTACTAAGAAATCTGCACGCCATGCTATACCATGAATAACTTACTTGGCGGTATGGTGTCTTCTCGTGTTCACAGTTTTACAACTTGTTTACGTTGGTCGCAATTCGGGGGGATATTATCAGGGATATATTTGACAATAATTTATTTTGTGTCGCAGGGGTCAAGTAAATAGCATGCTATCTTAGCATGTAGCCCAGCCCTAGCATAGCCTAGCCTAGCCCGGTCTTTTCAAATGCTACTGCTATCCTAGCATAGCCCATGTATTTTAAATGCTAGGCTAATGCTTCTGTAGCCCGGGCTAATGCTAGGCTATTGCCATCACTAGCAATTAGCCTTCAATATTACGAGGAGTGTTGAACGCAGAGTTGTTTGCATCAGATGACATGACGCACGATTTTTAGTGTCGTATGCTAAAAACTTCCCGGTCAAAAGCGAGCTTCAGCTCACCTGTTGGTCTGGATCATATAGCTGAGTAAGATATGTTGAAAATGTTTGAGCTTGATTCTGTATGCAGAATACACGTCAGCTGTATAGAGATGCTTTCCGCGCGCTAAACTTGATCTAATTGGCTCCAACGTATACACTCGTTTTGAGATCCTCCTGTCAAAAGCTTATAAGCCCTCATCTGAACGTAGATTCATGTAGTCTTCTTCAGTCAAAGCTTCCTGTGTGCAAGGTGCATGCACGGCAACCCTGTTGTACTTACAGCTGTGAGCATCATACGACTGTCCGACCTCGAGACAACCAGACATATTTGAGATCGTGTCTATAATTACTTGAGAGACAATAGCAAGCTCGGTGGACCAACAAAAAGAAACGAGATGAAATACTTGAATTCATTCAGCTGCTATGAGATTACACTGGTAAGACACCTTCTGCAGCGGGGCTTCCAGGAAGCTAAGCTAATGTCACCGACCTTCCGTTCAGCTAGGACAAGTACGAATATAGCGGATCGCAATCCGCTAACTCCAAGAGTACCCAAATCTTTACCCGAGGCAAATACACTCTTCCGTTTAGAATCCTCACTGTATTTCTCTCGCTTTATTTGCGGCAGAGCCGTTTATATCTAAATCTATAGGTTTCCTGATTAAAAAGTAAAACCAAATTAAAGTGCATAACTACTGGCAGTCCGGTAACGTAGTGGCTTCTTGCCAAGGTGTTGCCACACTATTGTGTGGTGATACTATTGTGCGGTCACACCATCTTGTGTGACCCATTCTTTTATACCAGGGTACGTGCAACCCCGTTACACCTTAAATGAGGCCTCAGCTGTAACGGGGTAACACGTACCCTGGTAACAGGTTTGTGTATCACACGAGATGGGCATGGTGTGACTGCACCCAAACAAGAATACGGTATGTAGCTAGAAGGCCAGTAGTTATGCATGTATTTGGATACATTTAGTAAAATCTAAACTTTTAAAATTAGGATAAATAAATTAAGTAAAAATCAGTTTTGGATTTTAAACAGAAGCCTTGGGTAAGGCAATAATTGCTCCTGGAGTAAGCAGATTGCGATCCGCTAGCTCGTACTTGCTCTAAGTATAGAACGAAAGGTCGGTGACCTAAAGCTCGCTTCCTCAAGCGCGAAGCTACGGTAGCCCCGCTGCAAAAATACATATGAAACCGCAAGCTTGTTTACAATTAGCCATTACATGAAAGTACCTTCTGTATGCAATGTGAGAATTGATAAAAAATTCACAAAACCGTATTTACAAATGCATACGTGACATCTAATTTAAAGTCACAACCGTTCTGTGTGATACATATTCCTCACAACAAAAATTTTCGAGATAGATCTTTAGGACCTCATAAGAATTTTTGTCTTAACATAACTTTTAAAATACTTAACTTACGCTTCCTCAAAGCGCAAAGCTACGGCAGCCCCGCTGCACTTGGTAGCACTTGTAGTCATTCTACACCTGAGTTGTTTAGACTGATCCTCTGTGAGGATGGAACAATTTTCCTCTTTGCTTCAGGGCATGCAGAACGGACTGAACAAGTAAAAATCTTAGCGCGGCCCTGAGGGCGTGTGACACCTTGCGGCGCAAGGCCCCGAGGCAATCGGTGCGCATTTTCAAATTACGAAAATGCGCTGCTAGAGCACCTGCAGCAAAAGATGTCTGCATTATTTGCGTCTATGACGCCACCGTCAGTGACGGATGATGATTCTCTCCGCCGTAAGCCGCTCATGGTGAGTGCTAAGGTCTTCGAGGGAAGAATGGAAAGAATCTCCTGCTCTGGGTGAGAGAGGTCGAGATGCCATCACATCCGCCATGCTCCAGATCGAGCGACAGCGCGCGGCGCTAGCCATCTCAAAGCTCGGTGGTCGAGCGCGAGAATGGGCACTGCACTTCGGTAGAAGCTGCGTTTCCCTCCTGGGCGGAGCTGAAATTGCAGCTCTCAAAAGTGTTCTCGCCGCCTAATCAGACAATCGCGTGCAATCGTGTTTCCTTGCCGCTCGACAGGGCAATAAGGAATTGGTGGACTTTGTCCAAGGGATGTGCACTCTCATTGCCGGGATGGCAGCAGATCCCCTCCCGGAGGCGGTCACAGTGACCGTCTTTTAGGAAGGCCTCGGCACTGGCATTGCCAGAATGGAAGTCCTCAGTGTGCATCCGTCTTCGTCTGTAGAGGCGGTGAATGTGGCATTGAATGCCGAATTCAATTTCAATTCGGCACGACTTGGTTGGAATGCACACTCCAACAGCTCGTCGAGCGGGCCTATGCCTATGGATCTCAGCTATGCTGAGGACGAGGGAGCAGAGCTCCGAGCTGCCGGGCAGCATACACACACGACAATGTTTTGTCTGTGGAGACACCCGTCACCTTCGGAATGGTTGCCCCCAGCGCAAGGCGCGTCACTGTTCTTCAAACCATCGCCCCAATTCCTACCAGTCTGGATCGTCGCGGAGAAACGACACCACCCAGTAGGCGCGGAGCGACCTACTGGGGAAGAACTGAGTTTTGTTGAGCCTCAGAGAGACATAAGTCAACAGGCTCAGCCCCAAAGGGCTTCGCGCTCTTAAACACGAAACGTGTGTGCAAGCCGGTCTTGCTGATCGTGGAGGCGACCTGAAAGGGCTTCGAGAAGCCATGGAAGATATTCATCGATTCTGGGGTGTCGGGCAATTCTGCTTGACGCTCCACGATGGAGGGAAGTCAACTGTATTCTGACGCGCTGAAAGAGCGGTCGGGTGACATCGTCACTGCTCGCCTAGCGACGGGGACGCATGTCACGGTCCCGAAGGTCCCTGTGGACCTCGAAGTCAAGTTCCTTGACTTTGATAGC